TAGAAAGATTTTGGGAAATAAAACTGATAGCATTTTTGAGGCATACTCGGCCTTTAATGTTAAACAAACGATAATATTATGACCTAGTATCACTGATAAAAGTCTCTTTTTCTGTAGCAAAGTAATTTTTGACACGAAATAAAGACAACTTACAGCAACAGTGGTTATAAAAGTCGGGCTCGTAAAACTTTTATATCTGATTTGCCAAGGTCATTTCAATATATAATGTAAAATGTCAAGGTAACTTACGGCATCTTTAGATCAGAATTATCTCCCTTGGCACGAATATTTACGAAGAAGTCGTAAAAGTGTTCACATAGTCAACAGTGATAATGATTAATATGTTGTAACTGTCCATGAAATCAGGAAGTAAATAAAACAAAGATATTTTCTTGCTTGTGTCTCTGCATTCTAGGTCACTTTTTTTAATTCACATAGTATTTCTGCTTTGCAACAGTATACTAGCTACGTGTTGTCCACATTTAAAATACCTTTGTATCATGGTGAAACAGGAATAAAGATATAATTTCATGATTATTTAGAATTACAGTATAATGATTTTCAAGCCCACAGATAGGAAAAAGCAGCAATAGAACAATTCTAATAAACACAACGTAAATAGAAAATCGTTTCCCCTATATGTGTATCTCACAATTAACCAGCATTTTTTTGGTATTGCGCACTGAAAAAAAAACAATTTAAAGGCCCATTATGTCTAAGAAATGCTATCATTATTTCCCAAAAATCTGTTTATTTTTGGTACTTGTTTCAGTTTAAAAGAATAAACACATTTGCTATATACCTGAACTATCTTATGTATCTTTTGCCTTGTTGACGATTGATATAATTTTAGTGAATAAGTATTTTGTATGGAAGTCAAAATACTACTTTGTTTACATTTTGCTACCTTTTAGACGCATATATGTAATATGTATGCTCAGAGCTTACATTATCAAACACATGTTTGACATTTCTAACGAATAAAAAATATGGATTTCTGATGCATAATAATTATGTCTATAACGAAAAGGTAAGTATAGTTTATTGATATATACTGTTAGCTTGTATAATCATCAACATTCAAACATTATAAGTTTCGGTACGCACCAGCACTCTTGGTTATTTGATGACCCTTTTAAACGGTAAATCAATTTATGGAAGCAGAAACTCGAACTAAATCATTAGGTTTAATCTAAAATCGAGGTCATTTCTGTTTACAAATCACATTTATATTTTGATACCAGGGTGCATCAATAAATTCGTATACTAACTCAATAACGTCAAAACTACTGGTCAGTTTAAAATGAAATTTTAAATGCTGTGAAAACAGATTATTTCAAATTGAATCATGCTACATGTATGTACACAACTTTGCCGTCATCACTTATGACGTCATAAACCGTAAATGACGTCACGTTACGGGCGTCCGTTCGAAAATGGCGTCACACTGCGTCAACGAACAGCGCATCGTTATAAAATTTTACACAAAACTCGAAAAGTCTTTTTCCGATATTTGTGAAGATTTGCAAAAGTTTACAGAGAGGCTGCGTTGTCTAAAGTTGCCATTTCAAAGCGGATGAAGCGATTTAAACACGGTAGAGAGGCAACTGAAGACGACAGTCGTGCAGGCAGACCAGTGACTGTAACATATGAAGAAACAGTGGCTGCCATTCAGGAGTACATACTCCGAGACAGACGAGTAAGTATGGAGCACGTAGCAGATAAGTTCGCTATTTCATATGGTACAGCTCAGGGCATTATGATTGATAGATTAGGAATACGCCACGTTTCAGCAAGAAGGGTGCCTCGTTTGTTGACGTCGGAGCAGACGGGGTAAGGGTGAAAATGTTTCAGCAGTAGGACAGGAGGTATCGTAAAGAAGGCGATTACATTCTAAATCAAGTGATAACATGTAATGAAACGTAGATTTTTTGAACCGGAAAGCAAACGTCAGAGTTCTGTCTGGAAACATATTTCCTCGCCTTCCCCTACAAAAGCGATAATTTCTAAGTCAGCTGGAAGGGTTATGGCCATTATATTCTGTGATACATACACTGTAGTGCAAAACCACTTTGTTCCTCCGAATACGACAGTCACTGGGAACTATTATGCAACATTAGTCTTAGAACGACACTCATGGCGGCAATAAGGAGAAAGCGCCCACATTTACTTAGGTCCGGGTTCATATTACATCACGACAACGCGCCGAGCCATTCAAGCCGCGTTGTCATGGATACACTAGAAAAGCTCGACGTCGAACTGTTACCGCACCCTACCTACAGCCCGGACCTAGCAATTTCTGACTTCTAGCTGTTTCCAACTTTAAAATACAGTCTTTGTGGTACGAAACTTGAGTCAAAAGAGGAACTGAGGTGTGCCGTGGACAAACAGCTGCGGGAGATGTCACGTGACGGGCTACAACACGTGTTCCAGTCATGGGTCGAGAAATTGGACAAGTGAAAATCGTTCATGGGACGTTACTGTGAAAAGGAGTAATCACTTTAGGTACTTGAATTAAATCATTTTCCCGCTATTAAATTAGTTTACGAATTTATTGATGCACTCTCGTACATGTAACACAATTCGCCGGAAACTACTTTTTGCATTTTGTAAACTATGACTTTGTTTAAGTTTACCTATGGAAATCACGACTTCAATGGAGTTTTACGTCTACGAATCATGCGCAAATATATTTAACTTATACAACCAATGTAATTTTATAAGTTTCAATGGAAGCAAAGGGGTAATATACGTTTATGCGAAAATAGATGAAAAAAGAAATATCAGTGTAAAACATTTTTAATCTCCAGATAAATATGGGGTTTACATTTCCATTTAATAAGAGGTAGTAAATGCACAACTTTATGTAACAAAAACAACACAAGCAACAAAATAAAACAACAATAACAGGGTAAAATTGAGAGTATAATATGGCATTTATCATTTGTTAAAACAAACATAAACAACAATACACTAACCAAATACATAAGGTTTCTTTAAAACATTATAATTTTAATATAAATATTCAAAATAAGAACAAAACAAGGGAGGTAAAAGCTGCATTATTTAATTATGAATATGAACTAAAGTTTGCGAATTTGGATGTAATGAAGGAAAGCTTTGTAATAAATGAATCGTTTTAGTTTCATTCATTCAACTACATTTAAATTTTAGATATATTATATAAAATGTACAATTCAAAATGAAAAATATGTATCACCTTAAACGTATGTGTCTACCTTTTATGTAAATATGTTAAAGCTATGATCAGGAACCAAACATGGGAGATAAGCGTTATAAATCTAAGTACAAATGTAATATATTTTATCACTTTACGATGAAACTTGTTCGGCGTTCATTTATTCAAATATGACTGTCGACATACATTTATATGAAAATAATGTCAATATAGATGTCGGAAGGTACTAAATAGTACATAATGCTCGTCTTCGTATTACAAAATAATGAAATAGTCATTTAATAAAACGGTAGAATAAATTAATACCATTACAATTGGTATGCAAACTTTTGCATTGATAAAAAAAGTTTGTATGTTAATCGTTTAACAATATTGTGCACTAGTTTTTAATTTTACACAATATAATATGCATTGTTGTGTTGTGAAGCACTTTCTGAAGCATAATGAATTGTAGATAAACATGGCACGTTGAAATATGACGAAAAAACACTGTACATGTTCTGTAGTTAATAAATTAAATACAAAACAAAAGTCATCAACAACCAAACATTTGTTGCAAACATTTTCCGTCGGTCGTAAACACATTTCAACTAGGATACTATATAATATTTAACAATTATAATAATCATATAAAAATAAAATTTGACATGTGTCATTGTTTCAAAATTGCATGTTTATAGAATGTTTAATTTACATTTTCAATTGTCTTTAGTTTATACAGAATTTATTTAAGGTCGATTATGTAGCAAGCTACCAACTTATTGAAACACTCTCGAATCCGTTTACGGATTCAACCAGTACTGAGAAATAAGTTTGAAGTTTCTTGCTCACGGAAAATGCGGCTAGCCCTTGATGGGGTTTGAACTCAGACGGCCAGCAATTCATAGATTACTAGTCATAATACTATAAGCTCAAGTTTAGATTCAAACTTAGGAGAAGATTCTAAATATACTGATAATTTTACACATTAGCAATTATAATTCAGCTTGTACTCAAAAATATGAACTTTCATTTCATAACGCTTATTTTATAATACAGCATTTGTATTGTAAGGATTATTTCAACATGTGAAGTTTCTATTAGCCTCATCGGGTTAAAAAAATTGTTCAATTTAATTTATTCACAATTCAACCCCAAAGCAGTTATACAAACAGAAAGTAAAAATGTATATTTTCCGGAAAATCCGAAAGATCATGTTACAACATTCAACATCAGTCCATTGTATAGATTGATATATTAGATTAAATCATTTACATAAATACATTCATATGCAAGTAAGTTATAATCAGTGATTTATTTACTTTAACATACTTATAGATAAGAGAATGAACAGTTTATCTATTTTACATGCATGTTATAAATTTAAATAAGCGATGTCACGTTTGCCATGGCATTTTATCACGTAGTAGAGTAGGTGGATTTCGTGACATATCACGCTATCTGGGAAAAATAATTATTTCCCGAATGCATGTTTTCTAACGAAAATTTTCGACGAATGCAAGCATGTTTAATTTTGAATTAATTTAGGTATATTTTGAAAAACAAAAGAATGCTTTGGTAAAAATAAATAAATAAATAAAAAAAATCATAAATAAATAAACGCTAAAAAATATAGAAATTATTTTCAGCGTGCTTGCTTACTTTAGCTACCATAAACGAATTTTCATGTACTGACCTTACAATGGAAAAAAATCGTGTTACAAATATAATGATATACCAGAAAGGGTAGAGCAATGTAATACATGCATATATAAGTTTTCAATAAAACAGTCATTTGTTAACATCAACGAAAAGAATGATATAATTTGACGAACACATGTTTATTTTCTAACTATAAAAGAATGCCTGAAAAGACGTCGGGTTGGGCTTTCGATCTCACCAGCACTAACACAGTAATAGTCTTATATCGAACTTGCAACATAGTTGGATGAAAATAGACACAAGTTGTGTCCCTATATGCCATATTTTGAGCGACAGATATAAGAATCGCCAACTTACTTTAAGCTACCAGTCCAGCTTACTTACACGGTACACAACCGAAAAGTCCCTTACGAAATCATAACCAATGGCGGTGAGAAGAAGAGCGTTTCCAAGTAAGAAACACTAACCAATCAGAAATCCTAAAACCTTATCGTCTGCCATATCTTACTTTAGGAAATATTACACTTCGGCATTTATAAACCCGTAAATGACTTATAAATGACAATATTTTATTATTAAATGAAACAGTTTTCATTTTAAAATAATACATTCAGACATTATGATACCCTTACCAAAATAAAATCTTTAACACTTAGAGAAAGCAGTTTGTTTCTATTCTTATCTATACATCATATTAGAAATAATTAAAAAACGCACCCAATATTATTTAAAAATAACTCATAATACATACAGTCAAACATGTATATTTGTTACTGAAATATGTTTCACATTAAATTGAGTTTGTACTACACAGAGTGAAGCTTACAAAGGAATTAAAGAAAGGGGACATAACAAAGGACCATGATAACTTCCATTGAACCTTATGGCAAGAAAACTATTTCCGTACATGTATCATTATTATTCATTTCATTCAAAATACTTAATATCAGAACAAAAACTTAATAAGAGGATTTAAAAAGTAACAAATGCGTGTTAGAATTACAATTAGTACGACTCAATTTCTCTGCTAATTTTCGTTGATTTAATTGTGTTAGACTTGTTTTCCGCTAAAAGAAGAGTAAAGGACCAACTTTGCACAAAGACCATCTGATTCTATAAGCCAATGTTTAAGTATGTCCTGCAAGTCTTCTTTCTTTCCTTTCTGTCGTGCTAGTTCTTCTAGTATTCTATCTGCACGTGCTCGTGGTATCTGTAAAACTGCACCAGAAACACCCGTACCAACCGACCACAAAGCTGCATTTATTAGTTGTTCTTGATCCTCGCCTTGCCATAACGACCACAAGAAACGACCTTTTAAATGTACAGCATACCATACAACATATTATAGATAGACAATCTTTATCAATAACGTAACTTTGAGAATTTATAAATAAATATTGTTTAATAAAACAAATCTAGTCACATTAAGTTGTATATGTGTCACAGGATGAGAAAAATGTGCTGCCTGACCGGGACTCGAACGCGGGACCATTGGAATACCGTACCGCGGTTGTATCGACTGAGCTATCCGGACGCTTACACATCATTTCCCCTAAATAGTGAACAGTTCTGAACCGTGACATATGTATATTGAAAAAAAAAGTTTAAATAGAAATGATTTCATCACATAATAAAGGGAAAAACACCTAAGTATACCCAGCAATTTCCATTTCAGTGTATGAAATGCGGCTCTAATAAACCTTTTCCGTAATGCCTTATACAGTTAAACATATTTTCAAATTAAGTAGTAAAGTTATTTATTCATTTATCAAAGGGAAAGTGTTAAAGTGTTTATCATTTATCATATTTTTTTTTCATTTAAAATTGTCTATGCACATACAAAGCAGCTGCATAAAATGAGCTTATTTACATATCTAACAGATGACACCAGTTTTTAAGGAACCGACTTGTTCCGTTATACGAATACAAATTCAAATTTCATATCAAACATTGAATTAACCTTTTAATTATTTCCATTCTGTGCAATTTAAACAAATTGAGAAATAATAAGCACCTTTAAATTTATTTTACCTGCACACACTGCCCCTATTCCCATAGATGCTTTCTGAAAGAAACCCCTGTCAGCGAGCGCTTTCTTTTCTACTGCCATGGTAACATCCTTCATCGGTGTCTCACATCGTCGAAGTAACCGCCATATTTGCTCAGTTTGAGTTATCACAGCTTTTGAATCAAATTGGTTTAAATGAAAGTTTTTACTGTCTTTTAAATGCCTAATTATATCAATTTCTAGTTTAATAGTCAAGTCTTGAATTTCAGCCACGTTTGCTTGTAAATCTCGTAATCTGACCTTGACCCTTGGTGAAGTAACGACGACTGAGTCTACAGCAACTTTACAAACGTCACTTGACGCAGAAAGAAACAACGTTTCTGATACAAGAGTAATGATGTGCCGGAAAAAGGATATAAGATAATATGGGCACTGGGAGTTCTTTTCGCGGTAGAACTGCTCCAGTTGTGAGACAAATTGATGAGATCGCAGGTAAAATTCCGTGTTTCCATGGTAACTGCCGTCTAAAAAGTCTTGTATATAGTCGTTCAGAAATTCAAGTACCGGAAGATCGCCCTCGGCTAACTGAACCAGAAGTTTAATCCCTGAAAATTAACAAAAATCAATTATGACCTTTGCTTAAAAATAACTATGGAGTATAGAAAGTGTCGTCTCTGTAGCAATTAATTTCTCATGTATATCCCTTAATATGTAAACACCTTTAAAGCGACTCTCTTAATTTATATGACAACTTATGACTCGTTTAACCTACTAGTAAAATAGGTGTATTTGTGTAAGTAAAACGATCGCGTGAAATATACCTTAAACGAACTCGTAACATATGTTTATATTGTAATAAACATTGTGTATCAATATTCAACATCATGCAATATGTGACGTGAATATCCAATAGTTGCATTTTATCAGTTTCTGTGTATTTCACACAATCGAGACGGAGTTTGGTCAATAACGTATATCGGCGGAACTCGTCTTCTGCTTTACACCCGTGTCTTTAAGTCAATAATCCGAAACATATACTTGTAAAATAAGTACATGACTGAATTGGGGTTAATACTCTTAAATGTTGGGTACATTATCAAAAGAAGTAAAGTAATTTATGCATGTCTTCGCAAACTTATAGATACAGATATACATTAGATCTATATAAAATTTAAAATTAAAAATAAAAATACATGTATATACCATTGTGTGTTTTCTCCTCCGATGTTGGCGAATCGTTTAAATCCTGCTCGCTTTTACTTCTTTTAAGTGACACAAATTTTGCCATCTGCTGTTATCACTAATAATACAATATCCTTAACATTTTGCTTGTTCACCGATAAAGTATTGATGTTATCCAAGCGTAAGGTAAACCGATTCTATTTATATCTTTAAATCCGGGTCATTTTATCGCTTTACTTACTGATACTATACACGCTTGTCAATTTCTCAAGGTGACACGGGATCAGTCATTATTTATTTGTCTGCTCAAGTTTGTTTTTGTCTATAATTGGCAGACATAATGTTACACAATACAGGCTCTATATGTACTAATTATGATAACACCTTGTTTGTACAATATACCATGTCATTTCAGTCATTATCTACATTTATAAACGTCACAGTTACTTATACCAACGCACGTCCCTTTGTTTACATTAGAAACGGCGAATACGTATAGTTTTCACTCGTGTGTTAAGGGGGCAGGGGACATATTCGAATGATGGCCCCGGTCAAATTTTTTAATAACTCAGACATGGTGTTTTGAAGGTACTGATAACTTCTGATATTTCTCTGTCATTGTAATTTGTTCTTGTTTGTGTGTAGGAAATGAGATAAATTTTTGGGTTTTTACCCGAAAATAAGCATTTTGGTAGCTTTGTATGTATTTCTGGCTCTCCGAATGGAGGTGAAAAAGTTAAAAAGCAAGCTTTGACAGTTGGCGCCAAACAAGTAAGAAATTTCAGATAAATTTTGTGAAAAATCTAAACGTATGACAGACACTTTATTTGTCATTTCTGAAAATGCCATAGCTTGCACTGCGTGTTACTGATATTTTTAAAGGAATCGGGCGGATTCTGGAGTATGCTGCACCTTCATGAAGATTGCCTATATTGGTATATTTTAGGTGTGATTTTGGCTGGGTGGGGGTAAATATAAATTGCTGTCAGTCATTTTTTGAAGGAGCAATGCATGCAAACTATTATTTTCTTCAATGTATGTCATATATCATTGAATAATGCTGTGCAACTGGTTATCTGCCTGTGAAACAGATTTTGAAATATTTGGAATTGTGTTTCTGGTCACACTGAAATACAAAATTTTTCATTTTTAGGTCCCCTGCCCCTTTAAAGTATATTTAGATCGATCTTAAAGAGAATAATTTTATCTTACTTTATCTGCTGTACGCAATAACAAAATCAAATAATTTTAATATGTTTTTCAATATAAAAAATTATAAAAGCAAACAAATAAATAATATAAACATACAACAAAATAACAAAAAACAAAACCGATAAAAGTGTAACGAGTCTATGTGGTGGAATTATAAAATTCAGGTTTTTTAGGTAATTAAAACATAATGAATTAAATATACTGAGTGCATAGTACAATATCATTTTTTTCACCTGAAACATTAAACAATGTTTATAACAAATAAACAATATGAGCAAATCAATGGATATACGCAGCAACGGCAAGGGAGAGAACTGTGTTCCACATTTTCATATTCTGTAAAAAGAAATTAAACCCCCTTGACCGATTTGGTTAATGAAGTTGGTTTTATAAAATGATTTAATCTAATATTTAACATGATATTACAGTCTACAAGTAGCTGTATTTCTATATGAAAACTGCATACTGTTAACATAGCGCAAAAAAAGATAAAACAACCAACAAGACACGACAAAAGTAAAACTAGTTAAATTGCATATGTTAGTTCTTTGTTTTCCATGTACATGTATGTGTGTCTAAACAAACCTGCCGCGTTTCGGTAAGTGAACTCAATTCTAACACCAACATCTACGCAGTCAGTAAGGCAATTATTTTATAAGTACTTGATTAATATGCAAAAATATATAAAAATTATAAACATCGTATCAATGAACACATCAATAATCATATAATATATTAGACATTGATTGAACACCATAAAATAAGGGCTTGATAAGTAGTGACATTATTTTCGATATTGTGGTCAAATTTTGAATGGTTTTATAGGCCCTGCATTGAGTTTTGTTTTTGTATATAGGTTTTTTTAAATACCCTTTTATACAGGGCCAATGAAACTTGTCACGAACTTCCATTTATTTAGAGGAAAACATGAAAATACTTCATCATTTCACAGAAGCCGTGCACATGTATATAGCTTATCCAATGAAAGCGACGAAACAAAGATAAAATATTATAAAATTGTATATACAGATAAGATATAAGTAGATAAATGTATTTTAGTATTCTATATATTATGACAGTCTGACTATACAATTGATGCGTAGCTGTATGATATAGATTGAAAACTGTGCAATATGCTATATGCGATAAGGTGTGCATGACTTTGTGCCGAAATATGAATGAAACATCATATAAAACTGTGTGTATATGCTTTAAATGTTTTCTATAAGGAATTTATACTCCTCATTTTCATTCATCGAAAAGTATATTTTGGCTATCTCACTTTTTATAGTACATACGTTGGAGCAAAGCTGTACTTCAATTTGCGAATTAATTTCAAAATGTCATTCGATTGTCTGTCAGTGAATATAAAATGTGAAAAAGATGAAATCTCATTTTGAATTAAAGCGATAAAAGGAGGTTTGATTTCAATATATCCGTGAATGATGCCGATTTTAATGCGTATTTGTCTCATAAAACAAAATGAAAATTTAAGCAAGACTGTCTGTCGAAACATTTTGCAAAGAGAGACTTCTGCTATGTGTAACCAATGACATAATGTGGTTGTCTTACTTAAAAATCAAACCCCTCCTTTCTCCCTTACCACACAAAAACAGAAAAAAATCTACAAAAAGAGAGAATAAATACAAGAAAGAAAGAAACAAACAAACAAAGAAACAAAGACACTAGAAAGAAAAGCAAAGAAACAAAGAAAGAACAAAAAAGAAGGAAAGAAAGAGTGAAAGAAATAAATATAGAAAGAAAGAAAAAATACAAGAAAAAAAGAAAGAAAGGATGAATGAATGAAAGAATGAATGAAAGAAAGAAAGAAAGAAAGAAAGAAAGAAAGAAAGGAAGAAAAAAGAAAGAAAAAAAGAAAATAACACCAACAAAAAAGGAAGACAAAACATGTTTTTATTTGACATGGAATTAAACTAGGGATATTTAAGTTATTGTTATAAGACAGACTTCTGTACCATTTCTTGAAAGAAAAGTTTCACAAAAAATACATGTCCCAGGTAAAGCCATTTATTAGAATATAATAAATGTATAAGAAATTTTATCTTATTATAAGGATAAAATAAAACATCAAACTTCATAAGAAACAATTTATTCTAGTATTTTATGAACTTTTGAATCGAGTTTATTTGAAATACCTTGGCATTGAAACATTTACACACTTTGGAAAAAAACATTTCTGTTTGCCAGCTATGTTGAAAGCATATGAAATAATGTATACATGTAAGAGATGTAACAACATTGTGTTGTTGAAAGCCGATAATCTGTAGCCAATTTGATATATTATTTAATTATGTGCTATTGTGAATTCTTCAACGGTAGTCATCAAGCTTGATTTATGCTGGACATGAAAGTGTTTAACCTGTGTATGGTTAGTTCATTTACAGAGCAAGGGTTAGAATTCTAACTAAATTTGACAACCAAAACTTTCAACATGTAATTCTTTTCCACAGAGAAATCCATTTCCGTCAACAGCCGAGTTCGCATTAGATATTTAACTCACAGAATTTGCTTATCATGTTTGTTGTTATTGAAACAGTAGAGTTTGAATTTTCAATTTACTGTTTGTAGATATATGATAAAATACCAATCGTGTTGAAACTTCTACTAAGTTGTTGTTACTACCATATTCTTTTTCATTTCATTTTTCATGTACTTTTATTTTATTGGGATGGTGGGTACATTAGTCCTAATACTTCTTGTGTTTCGTTTTTTTTTATTATTCTTATCCATTTTATCAAGTAACTCATGAGTAAGTAACATTTCTTTTACATTTATTTTGCAATAATGATTAAATTTGTGTTACAAATCGATGTCCGGCTTTGTTCTTTTTTTGATCGATTTGGATTGTGCATTGGTTTATGAAATAAGTCGATTACAATAAAGACTATTTCACAATAGTAATTGATTTTTTGATAAATAGTCTTTTACACATAATCATGTTTATTTCCCATACCCAACATGTAATATTTTAGTATATAAATTCAATTCAATATAATGTCACTTTAACTGGAGTAATTTTCATGTAATTTTGTTGTGATTAATGCTTTCGAGAGATCACTTTGTTTCCAGATTTTACTAGCTGAATGTCATTAATTCAAACAAAATAATTATATATTAGCGAATAAACATAGAATTTAAGCAATTTTCTTCTTTTTACTTACTTATATCAGTTATATAGTATATGCATTTATGTTTATTCAACCTTTCTATACTTTTAAACAAACTACTTTAAAAGGAACGAATTAAATGTGAAAATACAAACAATTTTATTACAAAACTAAACCATTTATATAGCTTCCTACACTATGTAACAATGCATAACCGACTTACAGTGATTCAGATGTTCAGAACAACCAAGCAATTGAGTACTGGATACTAATGTTAAATCCCTCCGTAGAGTATTTTCATTTATCTCAATTAAGATAAAACTATAAACCAGATGTCACAGCCCTAGTCATTCTTGACAAAGAAATCAAATGCGGGGCAATGCATTTCAATACATTTTGTAAAATAATTCATAGGATATAGGTATAACATGTTATATCTGTGTGAATCGGTATTGCAAGGAGTGACCTCGATTGCGATTTAATTTAAATTCCGACGAGCCATCCATTTGAACTAAAACATTGGAAGCATGTTGATGATCGATGATTCTAGATATAGATAGAAAAAATAGACCATACGTTTATAACACGCTAATCTCATTGTTTAAAAACAATTAGAAAGTGTTTTGATAAAAACATTGTAGTAATAAATTAACATCTGATATTGTTATATACTCATACATATCAAATTGCTATCCAGCTGGTACGTCGAGTTATATGTGGTCACTGGTTGACCTGGTTTATACTAAAACACATCATTTTGTTTGTGATACTGTTTGTGAGCAGTTGACCTATGCTAGGCATAGAAAAGGCTGACACTGCTATATTAAATATAAAAATGTCCCAGTCCGGTTCAGTGATCATATAAAATGCGCATTACTTCAATGCTCATATATACGTCAAGGATAAAAATTCTTTACATTGGTTTGCATAATCATTTAAAAAAAAACATTTGCAATTCATTTCAATGCAATATCTGTATTTCCGGCCACGAATGTGCGATATACTAATAATTACAGTGCAAATATAAGGAAAAAACAAGAAAAAGGTATTTTATTTTAACAATGAAAATTAAAAATATCAAGATGTGCTAGAGAAAGAAATGATC